AGCCTGGACACAGAACTGTTTACATTATTAGGTCATATTTACAAAAATATAATACAGAAGGAGTCACTCCGTAAACTTAAACGGACAGTCTGCCCAGTCCTGTCGAAGTCCTCAGGTCTGAAGTGACAGCTGCAGATGACTGAGGAGTCACTCGGGACAAAGTCCTTTCTCCTCACTGCTGCTACCCATGCCCGTCTCCTATCTGTGTTTTTTGGGAAACTACACACAAAATAAGTGTGTCAGAAAAACGCAGTTCCACATAATTTGTAGTTACTATTCAGGCTACAAGTTAACTGTTACTAGCGTTATACTGCGTTATGTCACGTTGGTGCCATGAAACAGATAGTTGACAATTTGGAATAACACATACACCATAGCTGTTTGACAAAGCATCATAATTCATAATTTTATAAGTAATATTATATAAATGTTAACCTTTGTTAACATTAAGTTGTGTGACATAGCGTTAGCTTAATTTGGCATTAGGTTACTTGATTAGCTTAAAAGAAGGATCACTTTCTGAGATATATATCTCATTAAACATGTTCGTAACAGTAAAATATTGTAAAACAACTTCTTACCTGTGGAATGTTATTCCCTTCTGCTTGGTTTTAACACTTCTGTCATTCGTACACCCAAACGCAGAGCAAAAATGTGGCATTTTTGCCGAGTCTGACGCGGGTCTGTACCAGTCAGAGCACCTAGGCAAGATGGCGGCGGTATTGACACAGCCCACGAGGCAGGGTGCAGCATCTATGTATATATATCTATCTATGTATTTGCAGTGCATTTGTCCTTGTCGGCCACCGTAAAAATCAACCTCCTGACAGATAAAACACAAGCAGGGCTTTACATATACATCATACCTAAACGTCACATGTGTTATTTTACCAGCTACTAACCTGGAAAGAACAATGTAATGATGAGACAGGCAACAGGTTGTAACGTTAGTGTGTTTCCTTCGCTCGCTGCTGTTGCACTGAAGACGAGAGCTGGAGCCTCACCAAGCGTCTCACTAACGAGGCGATGCCCTCTTGTGGCGAAAATCAGGAATTGACTCCAAATATAAAAACACATACAATGAACTGAAAAAAGGCTCTTCAACAATAAACACATAAAAACTGAAACAATTAAATCACATATAGCAAAACTTAGGAAACTCCAAGGCACTCTCTTTGGAAAAATTAAAACGCCTTAATTATTATGGCTTGGTCATCTTAAACCTTTAAAAACTGTGACGCGTTTCAGCATACAAGCCTTCATCAGGGAGTCAAACAGTTTTCAAAATGGAAAAGACTTCCTTAAAAGCTTTCAAACCACCAATCAGAGGCCTTCACTTGGCAGAAGCAGGTTTAGGGTTGTAGTACTACACAAAGACCACTAGATGTCCTCCTTCACACTTAATAGAACAGAATTTACATGACTACATGCAAAGGTTACATACAATGCATGCATCACTACAACACATATTAAAGTCAAGGGTATGGTTTACAGGTCGACAAAAAACATCAAACCAAACACCATGGAAAAAAACACATTTAATTAAAGGAAGACACTAAAATCAAGTTCTTCGTCCAGGCCTGAAACGAAACTATTAAAGATAGTCAGGTCAAGGAAATTAATGCAATCTTTACTATATTCCAGAAAAGAATGTATTAATTTCCTTGACCTGACTATCTTTAAAAACAATCATGGTGTGCTACACACTTCAGTATTTAGAAAACCTACTGACAGGAACACCATTCTGCATGCTAAAAGCTTCCACCCTACGTGGCTGAAGGAAAATGTGCCTTATGGTCAATTCCAGAGAGTCAGGAGAATTTGTGACCAAGATAATGCTCTTGAATGTAAAGCACAAGAGATGATGTCACGTTTTAAGGAACTCTCCAGAAAGCATACACAAGGGCCAAACATGTAGACAGGGCATCACTTCTACAAACAAACCCACCTAAGCCAACAAAAGACAGACCTATTTTTGTCACTACATATAGTACAGAGGCAGAACAAATTAAGAGAATAATAAGAAAAAAATGGGGTATTATTGAAAGTGATGATATGCTTGGCCAGATGTTTCCAGAGTCACCTCTGGTCACCTTCAGTAGATGTCCTATGATTCAAGACAAACTGGTCCGAAGCCATTTGAAACCAGAAGGCCAAAAAACATAGTTGGGATCTAAGCCCAAAGGGTCTTACAAATGTCAGCGCTGCAATCATTGTACAAATGTATTACAGACCAAAACCTTTGGTGGTGTTGTATCCCAAAAACAATTTACCATTAACCATTTCATAAACTGTAAAACTGTATTTGTTATATATAGACTGGAATGCCCTGACTGCAAAGTGTTTTATATAGGAAGAACAAAGAGACGTTTGCAGGACAGATTGGCTGAACATACAGTGGTGTGAAAAAGTGTTTGCCCCCTTCCTGATTTCTTACTTTTTTGCATGTTTTCCACACTTAAATGTTTCAGATCATCAAACAAATTTAAACATTAGTCAAAGATAACACAAGTAAACACAAAATGCAGTTTTTAAATGAAGGGTTTTATTAGAGGCCGTTTACATGTGGCCAGCTATTTTCATAAACAGACATTTCACCGTCTCCGTTTTCAAAAAGATCTTCGTTTACACTTACCCGTGTATATATACACAAGAGCATGCCAAACCTGTAGGTGGCAGTGTAACGAGAAGCTCAAGCCTTCCATGTATCCATTGTCACCATAGCAACATAGGTCGCACTTTTGACACAGGCGCAAGTTCCGGCGCATACTGTGACGTCGGCTGCCTATAACTCCGTTTATCTCCGTTTATCTCAGTTTACATGCAAACGCGCAACCGGAGTTTTCCAAAATCTCCACTCTGGCCGGAGTTTTTAGAAAGACTCGTTTTCAGAGGAGAAATCTC